GTGCGGTGTGTGTTGTGTTGTGTTGTGTTGTGTTGTGTTGTGCTGTGCTGTGGTGTGGTGTGGTGTGGTGTGGTGTGGTGTGGTGTGGTGTGGTGTGGTGTGGTGTGTTGTGTTGTGTTGTGTTGTGTTGTGTTGTGTTGTGTCGTGTTGTGTTGCGTTGCGTTGCGTTGTGGTGTGTTGTGTTGTGTTGTGTTGTGCTGTGCTGTGTTGTGTTGTGTTGTGTTGTGTTGTGTTGTGTTATGTCGTGTGTGTGTGGGGTGCGCACTACCACGAGGGTGCGAAGTTAGTCGCGCTTCGCGCATAGCAGTCTGGGCGATCCCAGAGCGAGGCGCGAGTCCCTCATTATGCTTTTTTTTTTGGGGGGGGGGGGGTCGGTGCGAAAGCGCGAAGGTAATCGCGCTTCGCGCTTGGCGGAGCGCGAAGCGTGAAGATAGTTGCACTAGCTGCACCAGAGCTGGCTTCTCCTCCCGAGGGTGCCTCCCGGACCCCCCCCCGGCCCGAAAAGCAGGGCGCCCAGAGGCTATACAGAAAGGAAGAGAGGTAGGGGGGGCGCAATCATCCAGACCCTTCCCCAGAGCTGGCTTCTCCTCCCGAGAGTGCCTCCCTGACCAGGAGGAGGAGGAGGAGGAGGAGGAGGAGGAGGAGGGAGGAGGATGAGGAGGAGGAGGAGGAGGAGGAGGAGGAGGAGGAGGTATGAGAGGAGGAGGAGGGAGGAGGAGGAGGAGGCGGAGGAAGAGGGGTGGAGGAAGTGGTAGCGGAGGAGGAGGAGGAGGAGGGAGGAGGAGGAGGAGAGGAGGAAGAGGATGGAGGAGGAGGAGGAGGAGGAGGAGGAGGAGGAGGAGGAGGAGGGGCGGAGGGGGGGGGAGGAGGGAGGAGGAGGAGCAGGATGCGGAGGAGGAGGAGGAGGAGGAGAGGAGGAGGAGGCAGGAGAGGAGGAGGAGGAGGAGGAGGAGGGGGAGGAGGAGGAGGAGGAGGAGGAGGAGGAGGAGGAGGAGGAGGAGGAGGAGGAGGCGGAGGAGGAGGAGGAGGAGGAGGAGGAGGAGCCGCCCTCTGTGAAGCCACCATCCTATGACGCCCCCCCCCCTTCCCGTCCTCGTGAAGCCTCCCTCCAGGAAGTTCCCCGCTCCCCCTGCTCCCTCTGGCAGAGGATGCGCACGAACTCTTCAGATTTGGGCGCTGCAGCCTTTTGTACACCGGGCGTTTTCGCATGCCTTCGGCCCCCGGACCCTCACGGATCGATCTTCAGAAGCATGACGCAGAGAGATGGGGTCTGAATCTCGGGTCCTGATTTTTCGCAGTGTGGCACTCTTGGGGTCCTCTTGGGGCCCTTGGGGTCCTGAGGCCTTCCTGGGGCTGTTTTGACTGGTCCTGGGGCTATGCGTTGTCTGGGCGATCCTGGGCTCCATGGCGCAAAATGGTGGAGGCCCTGAATTCGCCCCCCTGCCCCCCTCTCCCGTCCCCCGAAAGGTTTACTCTGTTGGGGCTTTTGGAGCGCTCTTGGGTGCTTCTTGGCAGACTCTTGGGTCGTCTTAGGGCCCTCTTGTGCTTCTGTTGGGGCTCACTAGGGCCATCTTGGGGCAATCTTGAGGCCTCAGAGGCCCATCGGAAGCGAAAAGGCGAGAAGGCAAATATCATTTATTTCCAAAGGTTTTGGGATGATGTTGGCCTCTTGGGAGGTTCCTTGGGGTACTCCATGAACACTTGGAGACACATTGTGGCCGTCTTGGAGCCTCTTCGATGCTGGTTGGAGGCTAGTGAATCGCATCTTGTGATATCATGCGCCACCTTGGAAGACATCTTGTGCTGTATGAGGCCATCTTGGAGCTATCTTGGGCCCAAGCGATTCTCTAACCCCTCGAGACCCCCCCCGTCCAGACCCAGGGGAGGGGTAGGGGGAGGGGGCAAGCGATCCCCCCGAAGAACGGCCGTCTCGCCCACTCCCGCCCGCACTCCCACCACATAGACAGCCCCGAGTGTCAGCATGGGCAGGGGGCGCCATCGATAATCATCAGGGACGGATGCGCATGCTGGGCGACTTCCTCCGCGAGGCGCGCCCGCCGCGCGTGCCAGGGCATCGCCATCATGCTTCCGAACGGCGATGGGGACTCTCGCGGGATGCCAGCACATGGTCCAGGATAGCACTGCACCTCGCATATTGTTTTTTGTTGCCAGGCCCCGCTGGAGCCTCTCGTCGCCAGCGCAGTCACCCTCCGCCTAGCCGCCCACGCACAAATACTTTTTCCTTTTTCTTTAGTATTATTATTATCAATAATAATAGTAAGGTACTGTTATTACTATTACTATAATTATTATGATTATTATTATGACGATGATGATTTTTTTTTTTTTTATTATGCTTATTATCATTATATATACAAGGGCGGCAGGGATGGTGAGCCCGCGCGCACCAGGCGTCATGCTGCCACCCCCGCCGTCCCTGTCAGCACAACGTCCCTGTCAGCACAAACGCACACGCACAACGCACACACCAGAGGAAAAAACAGGCAGAGGATCCACAGAATTCTCGCATGCAGTCCACGCCTGCCCTCTCCTTCTCTTTTTATACCCTCTTTCTTTTCTCGGCTGTATACTTTGTATATGTATATATACGTATTGGCTTTGTTAACTTGATCTGCCCTAGCGCCTCGCTCCACACTCTGTTGTTCCACAACTGTTCTAAACGATGTGTACGTATAGACGCAATAGTTTCTTGTGCGGCTTTCTCTCTCTCTCTCTCTCCCTCTTAGTTTCTCTCCCTATCTTCATCTCTCTCTCTCTCGCTCTCGCTCTCTCTCTCTCTCTCTCTCCCCCTTCTCTTTTTATACCCTACGTTGCCCCATGCTCTCTGCCATGTACTTTTCTAAATGCACGATGTACTATCTCATTCGGACTTATAACCATCCAACCATCCATCCATCCATCTTTTCTTTTTGTTCTCTCTCTCTCTCTCTCTCTATATATATATATATATCCAATCCCTCTGGCCAGCTCTGTGCACAACTCTCTGACTCCTGCACTCTTTACGGTTAGAAACCAAGGCGCGCGGCCACAACCACGACACCCAGAACCAAGAACCTTGCGCACCCAGAAACAGGAATCGGGAAACCAGAAATCTGCCAAACTTTGCACTGCCAGTGACCCCGGAAATCGGGAAGCGAGAACCAAGGAACCCAGCCGCCAACCGAGCCGAACAGGGAACCCGGGAACCCAGCCAAGTCCACACTGCCGGGAAACCCCGGAACGGGGAACTTGGGAACCCAGCCGACCTTCCACTGCCAGGAACCCCGAAACCAGGAACAGGGAACCCGGGAGCCCAGCCGCCCACTGAAATCGGCCCGGAACCCGGGACCCGGAACCTGGGAGCCTGGAGCCGGGAACCGGGGAACCCAGCCGCCAACCGAGATCGGCCCAGGACTTTCGCCGAGCCTGTCAATCTCGGAGAGGACCCCTTCAGTGCAAGCACGGATTGGGGAGTATAATGTGATCGCGGGGCGCCCGAGCATGATACAGAGTTTACCGCACATTGCATTTTGTAATTTTTGTGGATGGAATGGTGTGGGGGGGTGTCGGCGCTAGCATGGATTCTGGTCCGGTGGAGTGGATCAGGGGGTGTATACCAATAAGGAGCAGTGACGACCTCCTCCCCGATGAGGAAGAACATTGGCTTTGGAAGCGGGAGGGAAAGAACAGTTGGCAGACCTCCTGCGCCGAGGAAAAGGCTGGCGTGATTTTCCTTGAGGCTGCGTTGCTGCACTCAGGACGCCGAACGAAGGACCATTGGGAGCTCAGGAGGGGCTCTTTGGTCTTCGGGCCGGTCCCTGGGCCGGGGTCGGAAAACATGTTCGTGGCCGCGGCTCGCTGTGGCCAGAAAAGCCTTTTTCATTCCTCGACTTGCGCTCCTCATGGTGCAGTGGGGGGCGCGCCTCAAGAAACCAATTTGCTTGTCGACAGGGTATATCCTGGGTTCCTTCGCTTCGCGCGCCCTGCGCGGTGACTTCCCGCAGCCGTTGGAGAAGCTGCTGCGTGCAGGGTGCTCCGGGCTCCCCCTCAGGTGCACCTCGCGCGCGGGTTCTCAGGGTTGGGCTTCCTGCGAGGGTTTCTTGCGGCCGCGCCCGCACTGCACTCGCTCCCCGTGCGCGTGTCGCAAGCCTCTGCGCAGCTCTGTTCGCAGAGCTTTCTCAGCTTCTGCGGAGCTCGTTCCGGCGCAGGTCCCGCGGAGCCAAGTCCCCACGAGAGGTGGGATGGGCGGCCGAGGAAAGCGGACGTTTTTTGTGGAGTCAGCGGGTTTCTTGCGCGGGTTTCTCAGAAGCCAGGCGAAGGCTGGCAAATCCGTGGCTGCTAAAACGGAGTTCTGGGAAATTGTTTTTTCCTCCAGGAAGCAGCCCGTTTATTGTTTAGCGCGCCGAGATTTATTCCGAGACTTTGTCCTTCCCTTCCCGTCACCGACTTTGTCCTTTTACCGTCGGGAAGAACGTTTTAGCAGCCACGGGATCTGCCAGCCCTCGCCGAAGCTCCGAGCGTCTTGGGGGCCCCGCACATTAACGCTTCCGCACTTATTCTTGCCCTGCCGCTCTTGAGCACGGACGACTGTTTTTTTGTGGGGGCCTCTTTTTTATCCTTTTATGAATCTGTTGTTCCTGGGTTCCTGTCATACGCTGCCGGCTTTTTTCCTTTTTCCTGGGGACAGACGGGCCGAGGGCAAGGAGGAGATAGGAGAGAAGGAGGAGGAGGAGGAGGATGAGGAGGAGGAGGAGAGGAGGAGGAGGAGAAGGAGGAGGAGGAGGAGGCGGAGAGAGGAGGGAGGAGGAGGAGGAGGAGGAGGAGGAGGATGAGGACGTGAGGAAGGAGGAGGAGGAGGAGGAGGAGGAGGAGGGAGGAGGAGGAGGAGGAGGAGGAGGAGGAGGAGGAGGAGGAGGAGACCTCGCCGGCCCTCCCGCGGTGCTCCCCCTTTCCTGGGTCTGGTCTTCATTAAGTCGGGCATGTCCCTCGACAGGAGGAAGATGTTGAAAGATAGCCCAAAAGTGGTCCGGGGACGATTTTTCGACCATCTGCGGCTCTGTTCGCGTGCTTTCTTGACTCTTTCTTGCTTTTCTTCCACGGTCCGCCTCTATAGGAGGACCTGCCCGACCTCCGTCTGGTCGGCCTTCCGCTGGCCCCCGCCTCTCCCGGCTGAAGGCCCCGCCGTGGTGCTGCTGGCGTCCCCGGCCGCGGTCCAGGGCGACGCGCGGTGGACCCCCTTCACGTACGACCCCCGCCGGGAGGCGGTGGGCGCGAGCGCGTTCGCCGCGGGCGGCGACCGCGTGCGCAAGGAGATCCAGGCTCGGGCCTAGGCCTCCTCGATGGGATCGGATCGGGCCGGACGAAAGGGGGGGATAGGGAAAGGGGGGGTTACACAATTTGCTGCATGTAGCTGGTTTCGGCCCCGCCGAGGAGCCCATTCCTCGATACATAGCTGCCTCCGGCGCCGGGAGGCGCCGGGAAAATCAGCTACGTGAGCTGATTCTCACCCCCCCCCTTTGCTATCCCCCCCTTTCGCCCGGCCCGATCGGAGCAGGTGGGGTCGCAGGCTCGCGCCGCATTTGCCGATGTGTCGGCGATGCGGCTCGAGGCGGAGCCCGATGGTCTCCACGCCGACGTCGCCGCTGCGTCGCCAAAGGCGGGCGATGCTTCGCCAGCGCATCGCCGATGCACTGGCGATGCGGCGCGATCCTGCGACCCCATCTACTCGGACCCCATCCAGGAGGCCTCTATCGGTGCGATCGAAGCGTGTACGGAACGGGCGGGTGCGGCGGCCTGCCGCGGTGTTCGGTGTGACCGGAGTTTGGGAACGGATGGGGAGGGGTCGGCGTCACCCCAACACACTTACAGTATATGTGCGTCGCCCCCCCGGGGGCAATGCGTGCACCGAGAAATCTTATGGTGTATGCGTCGTGGCGGGCGCTTTCTGGCCACACCGCTCGGGAAGCGATACACTATAAGGTGGGATACTATATGTTTGGGTCGGACGCGCGCCTCCAAGGAGAACATATAGTACCAGTATGTCTTTTTGCGTCCCAAGGGGGGCTCGGTGCGACCAGAGGTCTGTTGTCGTTTCTAGGAGGTGTCCCAGCCCCGGGGTGCTCTCCTGCAGCTGCGCCCCAGAGCGCCCGAGTCCTCCCGGACGGACGCTGGAAGCCCGAGTGATAATCCGGAAATCAACTGACATGGGTTGGGAAGACGAAGACCGACGGCAATTCCTGTCCATCTCAAGCAGATCTCGCTGTCGGGGTTGCCGCTGGCGTTGTCCATTTGAGACAACGAGTCGCCTCCAGCAGCGGCCGGTTTCGGAAGCCTGCGCTGCGGAGCATCCGCGCAGGCGTTCCTGGACCGCGAGAACCTGCTGACGCTGGTCGCGAAGAAGACCATCCCGGCCGAGCCGTCCGCGGACGCCAGCGCGGCGCGGCACGGGGGGGGGCCGAGGAACACCGAGCTGCATACACATGAAAGAAAATCTTCGGAGGTCGGCACGGATTTCCTGGATCGTGGCTCGGCTTCCCTGGTGGCGCCTCGGGCGCCACCCCTGGTGCGCTCCGCGCGGGAAAGGTGTCCAGCGCCGATACAGGATCCGCGCGGACCTCCGAAAGTGCATGTCTATTCGAAGAAGAAAAAGCGGCATAGACATACACTTTTGGCGCTCCGCGCGGATTCCTGGGATCCGCGCTGGGCCCTTCCGGCGGCGCCTCCGGCGCCGCCCTTGGCGCGCGGAGCGCGCCAGGGAGGGGGGTTCAGCGCAGATCCAAGAATTCCGCGCGGAGCGCCAAACGTTTATGTTTGTGCCGTTTTTTCTTCTTCTATGTGGTCTCTTTTTGTTCATTGTTTTGCCGATCGGCGCGGGCCCTCGCACCCTCCCCCTCCCCCCCCCTCGTGGAGTGGATCTTGGGTGTTTTTGGCGCCTGTTTCGAGCAGGTAGAGCCTCCCCAGAGGACGCACGGTCGGTTCCAAACAGTCGCATTAAGTAGAGGTCCGAAACCAGACCCCCCCCCCCTCCCCCCACCTTACGCCCCATGTCGAAACGCGGAATAAAAGAACGCTCACCTTCTACAGTGGGGGCGCGCATCAAGAAACTATCTGCTTTTCGTCAGGGTACCCTGGGTTTCTTCGCTCCGCGCGCTGCGCGGTGAGTTCACGCGGCCGTCAAAGAGGCTGCTGCGTTCAGGGTGCTCGGGGCTTCCCCTCAGGTGCACTTTGCGCGCGGGTTTTCAGGGTTAGGTTTCTTGTGAGGGTTTCTTGCGACCGCGTCCGCACTGTATGTATGCAGTTTTTGTGTCCTCCAGATGGGCCAGCAGGAGGGGGGGGGGGGGGGGGCGACCGGGAGAGGGGGGGTGGAGGCTTCTCACAGAAGGCTCGGGTGCCGCTGCTGCGAGGGCCTCCTTTCGAGGTCGGGAAGGGCTCACCTGCCTGCTTCGCCAGAGCCTAGGGTTAAGTCGGGCACATCCCTCTACAGGAGGAATATTCCAAAGTAGTCAAGAATTAGTCTGGGGAGGATTTTTCGATTATGTTTGTTTGGTCATTTTAATGCACTGTTTGAATACTTTCTCTCTGTTTGGTCCAACATCCGCCTGTACGAGGACATGCCCGACCTAAGCCTAGGGTGAGGATAGATCGTTCCAGAGCGTGTGGGACCGCTCTCCTCTTCTGTGAGGCCCTCTTCGAGGTCGGGAGGGCTCCTGAGGAGCCGCCTGCCTTCTCCGCCATGGCCTCTAGGGTCAGAGTAGATCGTGCCACGGCGTGCGGGAACGCTCTCAGAGCTTTCTGGAGCGCTCTGGGGCAGCCGCGGTGCCCGCTACATGCGCTAGACCCACCGTCTCTCACAGATCCCTTTTATCCCCATCCGAACTCGTGCCCTCACCCTGCCCTCGCCTTGCCTCTTGGAAGCCCCACCCCCGCCTTGGGGGCCGCCGCCGACCTGATTCGATGCGATTCGATTTGCTGGCTGGGGCCGCGGTTCCGATTCGATCCGGTTCGGTTCGATTCAAAGGCGTCGACCGGGGCCAGCCCGAGCCAGGCGCGGCGGTCCGATTTCGGCATTCGACTCGGGACGAGTCGCTGGCGATGCGACCCGCTTCGGCGATTCGATCCGGCTCGCGGCTGCCTGCGCGCGCCACCAGCCGAGGACGCCGAGGGCGGCGACCTCGCTGCCGGCCTCGGGGACGCGGGCAAGACCGTGACGATCCTGTATTCCTCCGACACTGGCCACGCGGAGGAGTGCGCGAAGGCCGTGGCGCGTCAGTGCCGCGGTGGCGGCTTCGCCAGCAGCGCGGTGCGCTGCGGCACTGCGGACTCGTTCGACCCAGGCATGCCTGAGCCGAAGCGAATCGCGAAACCAGGCCGAGTCGAGATCGGATCGGATTGCCAGCGGATGGTCTCCCGAATCGAAATCGGATCGCCGCGCACAGTTCCGGCAGGCCCCTACGTCGCCAGTGAAGCGAGCCGACTCGGATCGGGATCGCGGGCCCAACCCGCGAATCGAATCGCACCGAATCGGATTGTAAGCGGCCCTGCCCAGGCAGGGACCTGTCTGGATCGGTCTCGAGTTAACCAGGCTCGTTCCGATCCGTAAGGGCTTCGCCCCCATGCCGCTGGCCCTCCTCTCCTAGAGTGGGACTTGCCAGAACTGTGTTGGGATGTCTGGACGCTGGCGTGAAGCAGTGTCGAGACTTCATGCGAGGGCCGACATTAGTTTACAAGGGTTTATGGCCTCGGTGGCGCGAATATCAGGTAAGTTACCATGGTTTATGGCTTCGGGGACGCGAAGATTGTTTAATTTACGAGGGTTTCTGGCCTCGGGAACGCAAATGTTGTATCATTTACGTGGGTGTATGGCCTCGGGGGCGCAACTATTGTTTGATTTGCGACGGGGTTTATGGCCTCGGGGGCACGAATATTGTAATTTGCAAGGCTTCATGGCCTCGGGGGCGCAAGTATGGTGTAATTTAAAAAGGGTTTATGACCCTGGGGACGCGAATATGTAATAATTTTCGAAGGTTTATGGCGTCGAGGGCGCGACTATTATGTAATTCACGTGGGTTTCTGGTCTCGGGGGCGGGAATATTATACAATTTATGCGGGTTTATGGTTTCTGGGTCCGGGGACGCGAATATTGTATGATTTACGCGGGAATTCTGGCCTCGGGGTGGCGAACATTGTGCAATTTATGGGGGTTTATGGCCTCGGGGACGCGAATATGGCGTTATTTACTCGGGATCATGGCCTCGGGGCCGCGAATATCAAGTATTTTTACGTGTCCCACGCCCCCCCAGGAATTCAGACAACGCGATCTGGGCGTTGTAAAAAAGCTGGTTTGGGGCTCCCCCCCTCTTCAGCAACAATTGACAGTAAGGAAGCAGAAAGCAGGACTGGAACAGTGGAAACTGGAAACTGCAACTGCCACATGGAGCTGCAACCTTCACCCTCGCAGCCTGGTGGCCCCGCAAGGGGGCCGGCGGATTCGATTTCGGTTTCCCATTCTGTTTTGGCTCGGTCTCGGCTCCGTGCTGGGGCGACCCGATCCGGCGCACGTTCCGACCCGATCCGATGTCCCAGTTCGATGCTGACAGGTCTTGCCCATTGATGCCAAGTCGAATCACCCGGTGACGTACCCACCCATTTCTACACATGTGGCGACGATACACAGGAGCGATCAATACAAACGAACATGTTGAAGGACCCCCAGGAACTCACGAAAGTAGCGACAGTTGCGCACTTGGCAATCCCCGAGAGAGCCGCGAAGTCTCGGCTGGGTGTGTTTACAACTCCACTCCGCTGGGCCTCCCAGGAGCCCACGAAAGTGGCGACAGTGGCGCAGTTCGCAGCCGCCTTAGGGAGCCGCGAGGTCTCGGCTGGGTGTGTTTACAACTCCACTGCGCTGGGCCTCCAAGGAGCCCTCGAAAGTGGCGGCAGTTGAGCAGTTCGCAGCCTTCAAGGAGCCGCGAGGTCTCGGCTGGGTGCGTCTGCAACTCCACTGCGCTGGACTTCTCAGGAGCCCACCAAAGTGGCGACAGTTGCGCAGTTCGCAGCGGTGTGTTTACAACTCTACTCCGCTGGCCCTCTCAGGAGCCCAGGAGTGGCGATGGTTGCACAGTTTGCAGCCCCCTCCGAGAACCGCGAGGTCCCGTCTGGGTGTGTTGACACCTCCACTCCGCTGAGCCTCCCAGGAGCCCAGGAAACTGGCGACAGCTTCACACTTCGCAGCCCCCCAAGGGACATCCAGGCCCCCCCCTCCCAGGAGCACGCGAGAGAGGCAGCGTCACAACGGGGCTGCAACGCAAGCACGACGAAGGAGAGAAGGGAGGAGGAAGAGAAGGAAGAGGAGACAGGAGGCAGGAAGTAGGAGGCAGGAGGCAGGAGAGGGGATAGAGGAGAGGAGACCACCGTTTCTCTTTTCAGAACGAGAGCCCAACACAGGAGGGCTGGGAACAATACAGATCAGCAGATGCAGAATCTTTCGTCCTAGCGGTTATGTGTGTGTGTGTGTGCTGATGCTTCCTTCTCGCCCCAGGGGCGCTCCCCAGCGAGTCCCTCGTCGTGTTCTGCGTCGCGACGGCGGGCAAGGCCCAGGGACCTCCGCTGGCCACCTCGCCGACCCCTGCCGCGCGCCGAGCCCGGGCCCGGGATCTTGCCGCGCCGGCCCTCGAGTGGGCCCCGCCCGTAGGGCGCGCAGGCCCAGCCGATCACCGGGCCCCGGGCTCTCGGCGAGGAGCGGTGAGGTGGCCAGCGGACGTTCCTTGACGAGGGCGAGTCCTGCGGCAACGGGCGCAACTTCTGGGAGAAGCTGCAGGCCCGGGCGGACGAGCTGCGGGGCAACCTGGGCGGCACGAAGTACTGCGTCTTCGGGCTCGGCGACTCCCACTACTGGGGCAAGGGCACCGAGGACTCCAAGGTCAACTTCGCCAAGCCGGCGCGCGATCTGGACGCTTTGATGGAGAGCCTTGGCGCAAGCCGCCTGGTGCTCAGAAGAGGAGAAGGTACCAACACCGCCACTCTTCCATCGTCGCCGCGGCTGGATTCGCCTCGAAGTCCTGGCCGCATCCCCGGAGAGGCTTGTGGAGCAGCGGCATCGGGATCTCTGTGTTCCAGCAGGTGCCGACTGGCTTCGGCGACGACCAGGACGTGGACCAGTACCACACCGGCTTCGCCGAGTGGCGCGAGGGGCTCTACTCGCGCCTGGGCATCGACAAGGTCGCCGGCGGTGGCGACAGTGACGACGGGCCCGTGAAGTCCGACGAGCAGATCAAGGTGGAGACCAGGCAGCTCCGCGGCTCCATGCGTGAGTCCTTCGACGACAAGACCACGGGGCAGGTCCCTTTCCAGGACACCAAGCTGGTCAAGTCGCACGGCAGCTACCAGCAGGACGACCGCGACCTCCGGGAGGAGCGCTCGAAGCTGGGGCTCGAGAACGCCTTCAGCTTCATGATCCGCATCCGCCTGCCCGCGGGTTACTGCACCGCCGAGCAGTGGCTCGCCATGGACAACATCTGCGGAACTTTCGCCAATGGCACTCTGAAGATCACCACCCGGCAGACCTGGCAGGTGCACGGCGTCCTGAAGCGCGACATGAAGGCCTGCATGCAGGCTTGGCGGCGCGCGCAAGGGGATGGCGGGAGAGCGGCTGCCGTCCGCAAAGGCGGGGGCGGGGGCTTCTCAGAAGCCTTCCCGGCCTCTCAGGAGCCTTCTTATCGGCGGCCACATGTGAGCCCTACCCTCGCCCCCCACGTTTTCGAAGGGAGGGTGGAGGTTCATTTCGTTCGGGAGACCCCGAGCGGAGTGACCCCCGCACTCAGAACTCGTTAGGGGGGGGTAGGGTTCACATGTGGCCACCTACTCTTAGGAGCATCCAGGCCCCTCCAAGAAGGCCCCTGCCTTCTAAGAGCCGAGCGCTTTCTTATGGAAGGCCGCCCCCGGTCCTCCACCCCAGAGTGCTCGGTGTTCTATCATGAATTCCTCATGGAACGCAGCCCTCCAGCTTTCGCGCCGAAGAGTGCCAGAAGCCGCCGCAGACCGCCAGAAACCGCCGAAGACCACCGACGACCGCCGACAACCTTCGGAAGACCGCCGAAGGCCGCCGAGGACGGCCCACGGTCGATTGGTGACAAGGTGGCCACGTTCAAATACGCAGCAATGTGCGCGCCGCGAACAGGCCATGAACCGCGCCTGCATGGACACGGTGGCAGCGTGCGGCGACGTGTGCCGCAACGTCCTCTGCACCAGCGACCCGTCCGTGTGCAGCCGGGAGGTCATGCAGCAGGTGATGAGCGACTGCTACGCCTCCCACGACCATTGCCTACCCCGCTCGGGGGCGTACCACGAGATCTTCCTCGTGCACGGGGCCGAGTACGAGGATCGAGTGCAGTCCAGATGTTACAATAAGGCCTCAACCTCGACCACCTCACCGATCCTGCCCGATCCCATCCTGGGCCCAAGCTCAGCCCGGCAAGGATCGGCGAGGTGGCCAACCGACGCCCCCCCGACTCCTCCTCCTCCTCCTCCTCCTCCTCCTCCTCCTCGTTCTCCTCCTCCTCCTCCTCCTCCTCCGCCTCCTCCGCCTCCTCCTCCTCCTCCTCCTCGTCCTCCCGTTCTCCTCTCCTCCTCCTCCTCCTCCTCCCTCCTCCTCGTTCTCCTCCTCGTTCTCCTCCTCGTTCTCCTCCTCCTCCCTCTATCCTCCTCCTCCTCCCTTTCTCCTCCTTCCTCCTCCTCCTCCTCCCCTCCTCCGCCTCCTCCTCCTCCTCCGCCCCTCCGCCCCTCCTCCTCCTCCTCCTCCTCCGCCTCCTCCCTCCTCCCTCCCTCCTCCTCCTCCTGCGCGGCCAAGACGCTGAAAGGAGAACCGCTGTGGGTTCAGGCGGAGCCTTGGCTGTCGGGCCACTCCTCGGACCTAGGCCTCGGGAGCCCTGTCGTGGCCGAGGCTCGCCGTGGCCCGGCGAGCCCCCGCGTTCCTCAGTCCTGGGCCAGGCCCCCTCCTCCTCCTCCTCCTCCTCCTCCTCCTTCCTCCTCCCTCCTCCTCCTCCTTCCCCCCCCCTCCTTCTCCTTCCCTCCTCCTCCTCCTCCTCCTCCTCCTCCGCCCGAGAAGTCCGCGGGGAGCCCCGAAGTTTGCGCCTGCTGTTTTTGTCTGCCGGGGCGGGTTGCCTCCGAGGCGGGGTTTCGCTGAGGAGTGACCCTGTTGTTCGTTTGCGGGGCTGACGAGTCGCAGCCTTTCGTTTTTTTTGTTCTTCTTTTTTTCTTTTTTTCCCAAGAAAGGCGCTGTGATGCAAAACGCACCAGTGCTTATACCGCTCAAGGACACACCAGTGTTTGGCCCGATCTGGGGCAACGCAGGGGCACGAAACCCTCGTGTTCGCCGCTCTCGACCCTGCGAACAGCGCCGACGTCGAGCATCGAGGCCCGTGCGATTGTGTTTGTGCTGCCCTCTTCGTCCAGAGGAGAAGTGCCAGGTGATGGGCAGCACTCCGCTGGAGGAGGAGGCCCTCTACGGCCTGACGTATCTGCCGCGGAAGTACAAGGCTCTCGGGCCGAGAACGGGCGAGGGGGCACAGCCGACGCACTGTGGGCCCAGGACGGCGGAGGGGAGGAGCACTGGTTCCGGGAGAGGGAAGGACAGAGCAGCTATACCACTCGCGCCAAGGCGAGGCTGGCGTGACTCTCCTTCCACGGCCTCTGTTGCTACAGTCGAGGCGCTGAGAAGGAAGGACCACGGTGAGCCCAGGAGGGGCTCTAGTTTTCGAGCCGCTTTTATTGAAGAAAAACAACTAAGCCATAAACACAAAGTTTTGGCGCTCCGCGCGGGTTTCTTGGATCTGCGCTGGAACCCCCCGGCGGCGCCTCTGGCGCCGCCCCTGGCGCGCTCCGCGCGCCAGGGAGGGGGGTCCAGCGCAGATCCACGAAACCCGCACGGAGCGCCCAAAGTTTATGTTCATGGCGTTTTTCCTGTTCTCCGAAGGTGGAAGGGTCCGCCCGGTGTCAGAAACCGACGCCGGGGTCGTCCCGACGCGAACCCGCTGTGGGGGAAGGGCGGGGCGGGGGTCCGAGCACTGCTGTGTGCAGCCGGTTTTGGCCCCGTCGCTGGGCACTTTCCTCGATGCACGGGCGCCTCCGGCGCCGGGAGGCGCCCGAGAGCCGGCTACACGAGCCGATTCGTTACTCCTCTCGCCCGCCCCGAAAGAGGTCGCGTTCGCGATCCCTCCGTCCAACGACGTGGATGTCTTTGCGCACTGCTGTGGCTTCATCGCCATCATCGAGGGCGGAAAGCTCCTCGGTTACAACGTCACCGTCGGCGGTGGCCTCGGCTTCACGCACAACAACCAGAAGACTCACCCTAGGCTGGCCGAGGTCATCGGCTTCTGCGAGCCGGAAGACTGCAGGTACGTGACCGAGTGCGTCATGACGGTCCTCGAATGCCAAATTGCTCTGGCAAAGCACCCCAGTCGCAGCAAGGCTGAGGAGGCAGGTCGATGAGTGGGGAGCACGGCCAGGGGGCCCAAGGCGCAGCCAGGGCAGGGGTGGGAGCACGGCCCTGGTCGCCTCGAAGTTTTTCTTTGTCCAGGGGTCGTTGTGTCGTCTGGACCTCACAATGTCGCTGGCACTGAGGCGAGGGGCACGTGTCCTGATCCAAGTGTGAGGAGGTCTCCAGCAGAACCGCCGCGGGACCGTGCCGGACTGGGCGGTCCAGGGCTCTCCGCCCCCCCTGTGGGACTCTACCGGGTCCTCCTGGGTTGTGATTTCTCACATGGGATCGTGGCCGTGTGGACAAGCACTGTAGCCGGCACTGAGGCGAGAGCACGACTGTTGAATACATCGGGAGGAAGTCTGGGTCGAAGCCGCCGCCGGATCGTGCCCGACCAGGCGGTCTAGGGCTCCCCGCCCCCCCCCCCCGTGGGCCTCTCCTGTGCGCTCCTAGGGAGCAGACAAGTGATGTTCACGCTTGGAGGCCCGCTCGGATGACAGTCAACCCGCATAGCAGGGATGGGCAACCTCCCCAAGGCTACCCTCACATCCTTGCCCCTTCGGCCCATCCTTAGCGACTCTCGCTGGCCAACCTCGTTCGGCAAGCGCGAACGTGGCCCTCCAATGCCCTTGCCACGCATCCTTACCGCGCAGCCTTATGATACGGGTTGACTGTGTGTACTCCAGATTTCGTAATAAAGGGAGGGGGGTCTCATTTCGGGAGGGGGTCTCTTCCAGGCTATCTTGGAGGGCCTGGGGGGGGTCTGGTGACGATGTTTTGGAGGGTTCTCCCACGGGGGGGGTGTCTGAAATGGCTTGTCTTGGAGGGTCCAGACCCCCTCCCTTTTACTACGAAATCTGGAGTACTTTTTTCGTTCCTCTGGCAGGGGGCGCCAGCACCGGCCACCCCACCGAACCCGGCCGGCCCCAGGCCCTCGGCAGGCAGGACCGGCGAGGTGGCCGGCCGACGCCCCCCGACTCCTCCTCCTCCTCCTCCTCCTCCTCCCCCTCCTCCTCCTCCTCCTCCTCCTCCTCCTCCTCGTTCTCCTCCTCCTCCTCTCCTCCTCCTCCTCCTCGTTCTCCTCCTCCTCCTCCTCCTCCTCCTCCTCCTCCTCCTCCTCCTCCTCCTCCTACACAACCAAGCTGAAAATAGGCATTTATGGACTCCCAGATCCCAGTCTATGTCAAGCGCCCTCCTGCTTCAAGAATCGAGATACTTTTGCTGCGACTCCTACACAACCAAGTTGAACATCGTTTTTTTTGGACTCCCAGATCCCAGTCTATGTCAAGCGCCCTCCTGCTTCAAGAATCGAGATGCTTTTGATGCGCTGTGCATGTCACTGGACGGGCCGGAACCCAACCTACTTTTATCCGCCTCCCTGCGTCATGCTCTGACCTGCTCCTGCCGACCGACGTCTGGGGCTCAGGGCTGGCCCCGTTTTTCCACGCCGCTCCTCGGACCTAGGTCGGGGGGCCTCTCTTCGTGGCCGAGGCCCTCCGTGCCTTGCTCTTCGCGCCTCCTGCGGCAGCACGACGGTGGCTGCCGGACGACACCGGCGCACAGGCAAGCTTTCGGGCCCCCCTCCGCACGGAGCTCTCGGGCCTTCGCCGCTCGGGCGCCGCCCCCGGCGCGCCGCGGGCGCCGCGGGCGCCAGGGCCCAGCGCCGCCCCGAGAAATCCGCGCGGAGCCCCGACAGTCGGACGACTGCAGTCGGGCCGAGGCGCAAGATCGAGGTCGGTTCGGGGAGGGTGCCCTGAGGTGCTTCGTGCTTGTTGGATGCGCTCGTGCGTCCTGGGGAGGGCAATCTTGGATGCTCTGTGTGTGTTTTGGCCGGCCGGAGGGTCTCGTGATCCTGAGTGATGCTCTCCTGTCCTGGGTCCGACCGTGTGCCTCTTCTCCAGCCCAGTCACTCGGGGGCGTTTGAGGACCGCTCCTCCTCCCCCTCCCTCCTTCTCCTCTCCTCGTCCCCCTCCTCCCCCTCTCCTCTCCTCGTCCTTCTCCGCTCCTCGTCCCCCTCGTCGTCCTCCTCCTCTCCTCGTCCCCCTCCTTCTCCTCTCCTCGCCCCCCTCCTCGTCCCCCTCTCCTCCCTCTCCTCTCCTCTCCTCGTCCCCCTCCTCCCACCCCCCGCTCTCCGCGCCCCCCGCCTCTCCCTCCTCGTCGCCTCCTCCTCCTCCTCCTCCTCCTCCTCCTCCTCCTCCTCCTCCTCCTCCTCGCGCGCCTTCGGCGACCGCGACACCCGCGCAGGTCTCGCGCGACTTCGGCGACCGCACCGGCCGCAAGCACGCGCGCGTGAAGTACACGGTGGAGGACTACGGGGCGCAGTGGTACCGCGAGCAGGTGGAGGAGCGGCTCGGGAAGAAGCTCGGCGAGCCGAGGCAAGTGCGCCGTGTGGTCGTTGTTGTGGCGGTGGCCGTCGTCGTCGTCGTCGTCGTCGTCGTCGTCGTCGTCGTCGTCGTCGTCGTCGTCCTCGTCGTCGTCGTCGTCGTCCTCGTCCTTGTGGTCGGTGGCCGTCAACCGCGTGGTTCAGAATGAAGATTTGGTGCCGCTGCAGCGCTACCTCTGCCCCGTTTTCGCCTCCGTGGGCGTCCCGAGGGGCCCCCGACGCCACGGCCAGAGGATTCGCCTCCCACTTCTGCTCAGGACACACACACACACACACCTCTTGGGAGAGGTCAGGAGAGCAGCGGCATTGGCACCTCTGGGTTTTTCCCCAGTGAGCGCTGTCGTGATGGCTGTGGTCGTTCTGGTGGTGGTGGCTGCCGTGGCGGTCGTCGCCGGTGGAGGTCGTCGTGGCCGTGGCCGTGGTCGTCGTGGTGGCCGCCGCCGTCGGCCGGCCGCCGCCGCAGGCCGTACAAGTTCGAGCGCAGGGGGGACCTCTTCGACTGGTTCCAGACGAAGGACGACGGGCTCTGGCACTGCGGCTGCCTCGTGACGGGCGGGCGCGTCAAGGGCGACGTCCGCACGGGCCTGCAGAGGATCGCCGCGGAGCTGAAGGGCGTGGGGGGCTTCCGCATGACCTGCAACCAGCAGCTGCTCATCACCGACGTGCCGGCGGCGAAGAAGGCCGCCGTCCAGAAGCTGCTCGACGAGTACAAGATCCCCCACAACGACGAGACCACGGTGAGCGGCCTCAGGTCGGGGGGGGGCCAGCTGCACACCAGCACCGAGCCCTGCCGGGACGATCCCTGGGCTCAGCGCTGGCATATCTGCCTTCCTGGCCGAGCCGGGAGTGCGTACACTCAAGTCTGGCATGCCCCCCTAGAGGAGGAATGCCGAAACATTGTCAGAAAATAGTATGGCGACGATTTGTCGACTATGTTTTGATTGTGTTTGATCATGTTTTTTTTTGTTTGCCCACGACTATTCCAAACTCCGCCTAGAGGAGGGCATGCCCGACCTAAACGTACACCCAAATACCAGACGTCATGCTTCTTTCTCAACGAGGACCCCCAGAGGTCGGGACCCCGTCCCAGGGAGTGTTTGCTCATCTGAAGCCGTTTTTGACGGTCCTGAGGCCTAGTGAGACACCCTCTGTCGTGACTCGTTCACGACGCGAGGGGGTCTGGGTACACTTCTGGGCCCAAGAATCGTTTTGGCTGGGATCGGCGCTGCTGTGAAGCCCGCGACCTCCGCAACCAGGCGCAACATGATCTCCTGCGTTGCGCTGCCCACCTGCCCCCTCGCGTTCGCGGAGGCCATCGGCGGCCTTCGGCCGCCATCGGCGGCCTTCGGCGGCCATCGGCGGCCTTCGGCGGCCCTCGGCGGACCTCGGCGGCCCTCGGCAGCCTTCGCCGATGGCTGGCGGCGGCCCCCCCCCTCGGCATCCCACGATCTGCTCTATCCAACGCGCTGCCCTTGAGGTCCCGACCCCTTTGTCGGGTCCAGTTTTTCGCCCCAGAGCCTTTCTTGCTGGGCCCGCAAGGAGGCCCCCAAAGGCCGAACTCGAGGAACCTCGCCCGGATCGACCAACATCCCACCGTCGGAGATCTGGGCCCGCGCCGGCGGAGGCCGAGCGCTACCTGCCCACGCTGGTCGGCCGCCTGGAGTCGGTCGTGGAGCGTGTAGGCC